GGTCCTCTTGGGCCGTCTGGGGGGGCCCTTGAGCCATCTTGGGGCCCCCTTTGGCCGTTTCGAGGTCCCCTGGGGCCGTTTTGGGGCCCTCCTGGGGCCCTCGGGGGCCGTCTCGGGACCATCTTGAAGGCTGCTGGGGCCGTCGTACCCCTAGGAAAATCCATGTGCTTGGCCTCCAGAGGTGCTCTGGGGCCGTCTTGGGAGCCTCTCGGGCCCTCTCAGGGCCCTCTTTGGCCGTCTTCGGCCTTCGGGAAGCTGTGCTGAGCCGTCCTGAGCCCCTCTGGAGCCCCAGGAGGCCTCGGCGGCCGATCTCCTATGTTTTCCATACGTTTTGGTACGCTCCTGAGCCCCAGGAGGGGGAGGCCAGTTTCGCCCGCCGATGTGGCGCGACTCCGGGGGGGGGTTAGGGGGGAGACAAAATACTACAAGAGAAAGCAATGTGTAGCGATTGTATAGGATAGGATCGTTGGATACACTGGACACGTTGCGTTAAGGCTTTCGCCAGAAAAACAAGCTGCCGCTCAGCACGTCACCTCCAGCAGTGGATTCCTCTCGCTTCGCGAGGTGCACGTCCAGAGCACGTTCGGATTGGGCGTTGGGTGGTTTGCCTTGCCTCTCTGCCGAGAAGCTATGCCGTGGGAGTGGATGCGTACCCCCCCATCCCGGTTTCAGCGCAGGGATGAGCAGGCGAATGTCGACGAGGGCAATGAGCATTCACCGCATGTCAGCACAAGGCAATGCCAAGTTCAAATTCAGGTGAGCAGAGCAACAGCGCGCCATTCGTATACAATTCCGCGAGCCTCTTGGTGGCTTCTTTAGGCTGTTTGGGGGCGTCGTTGGGACATCTTGGAGGCTTCTTGGGGGGCCCTGGTCGCGTGTTTGGGGCCCCTTTGAGCCTCTTGGGGCCTCTTGGGGGCCTCTTCGGTCGTCGTGGAGCGCTCTTGCGCCGTCTGGCACCTTCGGAGGCCGTCTTGGGGGCCTCTCGGGGCCGCCTTGTAGCTATCTTCGGGTCCTCTTGGGCCGTCTTGGGAGCCTCTTGGGCCATCGGGGTTCTCTTGGGCAGTTTCGGGGCCCTCTTAGGGGCCTCTCGAGGTGGAAAAAGGCAAGAGCGCTAACATGTATCAAACACCGCAGGACAATCGATGTGCTTGGCTTCTGGAGGTGCTCTTGGGGGCCCCTGGGGCCCTCTGAGGCCGTCTTGGGGGCCTCTTGGGCCGTCTTGGGGCCATCTTGCGCCGTCTTGGGGCTATCTTGGGCAGTCTAGAGGCCATCTTGAGCCGTCTGGAGGCCCTCTTGGACCCCCAGGACGCCCCAGAGGCCGATATGTTCCATACGTTTTGGTACGCTTTTGGGACCCAGAAGGGAGGGGGGGGTGCACTTTGGTCCGTACATTTGGCGCGACTCCAGCGGTGGGTGGGTAGGGGGGAGACATAATGATGTAACTCAGTAGAACATGCAGCACGTGTGCAAATCGTGGATGCAATGGATACGTTGCATCAAGGCATTCGCCGGAAAACGCTGCCGCCCAGCACGTCACCTCCGAACGTGGAATTGTAGGGTGTTTCGGCTTCAAAGGCTTCTTAGGTCCTTTTGTTGGTTGTTTTTCTTGGGCCTGCTCGCGGAGGGTCCGAAATGTCAGTTCGAGTTCTTTCGCTTCGATCTTTTTGGGGGCCCTCCTGAGAGCCGTCCTGGGCGTCTCTGTGGCCGATAGGGCGCTCTAGAGGAATCCTGAGGGATCCTGAGGAACCTGGACAGATGTAGGAATCCATAGGAAACTAAGGGAATTTGCAGGAATCTAGAGCACTCCAACAGAATCCAAAAGGAGTGATGAAAAATCTGGAGAACCCCGGAGGAACTGAAGAATCTGGAGGAATCTGGAAGAATCGTGCGAAGTTTGGAGGAATCTATCGGAATCCACCGGAGTCTAGAGGCAGGCTGCTGCGCTGACGGCGGTTTTGTTTTGGGAGGGGGTCTCTTGGGGCCTCTTGGGGGCGGCTGGGAGTGTCTCAGGGCGCTCTTGGACCGTCCGGCGCCTTTGGAGTCCGTAGCGATGGCCTTTCGAAGGCGGTCTTGAGGGTTTCGTTGGCCTCCTTGCCATCGTGGGCCGTCTGTCTTGGGGCCCTCTTGGAGGCTTTGTTGGCCGTCTTGGGGCCTCTTAGGGGCTTCTTGGGCCGTTTTAGAGCGATCTAAGGGGACCTCGTGGGCCATCTTGGACGCCGCGAAGACGAAAACAAGGAATCTGCGAAAACATCCGCTTTCGCAAGAGATTGAGATAACTTCTCCTTCTGGGGGCCCTCTTTGGAGTCGTCTCGGAGCCCTCCGGGGACATCTTGGCAGCCACTAGGGCTGCCTTGAGGCCATCTTGCAGCGCCGTGGGGGCCACGCGGAGGCCACGCGGAGGCCATCTTCGGCCGTCTTCGGGCGTCCTGGGACCATTCCAAGCCCGTCGGAAGCCGTCCAGGATCTTCCTTCTGGCGCTGATGAACCCCTGGCGGATGCGGCGGGACTCTAAAGCGAGCTGAGGGACGTAAGGAGTGGAAGCGAGCGTGCGCCCGCGGCCGCGTCGGCTCAAGCGGCCGGCCGCCCAAATTTGACTGTGCCTCACTGCGAGGCACACAATCGCTATCGGGACTCAAATGATCTTCCTATTGCTTGAGATGGCATCTCCTCTCATGCTGGGACTATCGCTGCTTCGTTACAGCAGAGCTGGAGCTTGGCTTCGCCTGAGGCGAAGCTGTTGGCTGGGCCTTCCAGCCCCCTTCAAACTGCCGGCCCCCCCGCCTGCCAAACCGACTGGACTGGGCTCCCGGGGAGGGGTTTGGGGAGGGGCACTTACCTCGCACGCCGAGCCACCCCCAAGGGGTCTCAGGGCCCTCTCGGAAGGGCTCTTGGAGCCCTGGTGGAGCGTCTTGGGAGCCTCTTGGGCCGTGTGGAGGCCATCTTGGGCGTCTTCGGGCGGCATCCTGGCGGCTCAGGGCCCTCTTGTCTCGTGGTGGGGGCCTCCTGGGGCCCTCTGGCCCCGTCTTGGGGCAGCGTCGCTCCGAGAAAATATGTACTGCGGGGGCGCTCCCCGGTACGCAGCACGCCCCAGCAGATCCAGAAAGTTTCGGGGTCCAGGCATATAAGATTCATGTATTCAGAACTGAAGGCGGCGAGCTCTAAGGGACCTGGGGACACTCCCATTCGCGTCTCAGGGCAAGGTAGCAGAGAAGGGCGGGGAGGCCAGTTGCTGTTCGGAGTGTGTCAGTCAGCAGTTTGAGTACTATCGGGGAGTGATGGAACCCCACCTTGCAAAGTCGATTCGCGAATCGTCCCGCGAGGGGACCTTTCTCGCTTCTCGAAAGGGTGATGCAGCCGCCATTTCAGCGGGGCTACGCCCGCGCGGTTCGGCCCACTGGCCGGTTTCATGCAAGAGTGTTCTGTTACAGGGATGTTTGTCCAGACGTGCAGTAAGAAGAGGAAGGTGTCAAGAGAAAGCTGTAACCAGAGGGGAAGGACCAGTATGTTCATAATCAGCCAGAGAGGAGGAGGAGGAGGAGGAGGAGAGGAGGAGGAGGAGGAGGAGGAGGAGGAGGAGGAGGAGGAGGAGTGAGGAGGAGGAGGAGAGGTGAGGAGGACGAGGAGGAGGGAGGAGAGGAGGAGGAGGAGGAGGAGGAGGAGGAGGAGGAGGAGGTGGAGGAGGAGGAGGAGGAGGAGGAGGTGGAGGAGGAGGAGGAGGAGGAGGAGGACGAGGAGGAGGAGGAGGAGGAGGAAGAAGAGAAGAAACAGTTGCAAGATGAGCAGGAGAGGCGGAGCAGGAGGAGCCGGAGGAGGAGAACCCCGTTCGCCCTGCTAGAGCAGGCTTCGGGGCTCGCTGAGTCGCCGGCTGGCCGTCGGGCCTAGTCTATGATATACATACGGCGCCGCACCGTTTGTTCCGACGCAAGGCCTTGCGTCTTGGGGAGGGCGCTTCGGGCACCAGGGCAAACGCCGCCTCTGACGCGGTGGGTTCGCCGTGGGTTCGCCGCGGCGCCAGCTGCGCTTCCTTGGAAGCGGGCCGCAGTGCTTGCCGTGGGTTTGCCGTGGTCTCGGCGTCGTCTTTCTGGGCGCGTCGAGGGCAAACGGCGCGGCGGCATATAGATGGCTTCCGGATAGCTTTCCCCCGTCTGCCGCAGAAGCCCGCGCCGGGCGAACAGTTGGCGACATACGCTCGAAGAAAGAAAGGAAGAGGGGGAGGAGGAGGACGAAGGCGAGGGGCAAAGGGAGGATAACGAGGACAGAAAAAAAGGCGATGAAGGGGAGGAAGAGGGGGGACTGGTGAGGGGCAGCGAGTGAAACGGAGGAGGACCGCCAGAGCAAACACGGTGCACACCACCAGCGCATCAATACGCAAGCATCCCCTTCCATCGAGCGCCCCCATTTGGAATGGTGGCTTTCCCGTGTGCCTAACACAGGCTCAGGACCTTGACTGGGCTGGCCTGGTGGTAAGTCCGTGGTGTGGGTCCAGAAAGGCTAGAACGGTCAGAAAGGCCTTGCCGAAAGAAGTGGCGGTTGGGGTGGAGTGTGAATGTGAAGCGTACGCTTAACACTGCGAGCTGATGGCCGCGTGAAAGTTTGAAAGCACTGTGAACCAAAGCGTGCTCATGTGCTTGATGGGACCACCTGGAGTCCTTTGGTGCTCCCAGAAATGTTGAAGGCGAGAGTGCGATTTGGAATCGATCGGTCAACGATCCGTATAACTACTGGAAGTCGTAAGCTCTTGGAGAACAATGACCGAGTAAGCGTTTTGCGCTACAGATGGGGCCAGTCATTCGAAGAGGCGTGGGCGGGGGGGGAGTGGAGCAAGAGGGGTGCGACAGGTCGCACCCCTTCTGCTCCACCCCCCGCCCCTATCCCCTGCCGCCCTTCCCTGCCCTCTTCGCCTTTCCTTTCCTCCCCCTCCCCTGCCAGGAGATCGGCAAGAAGAAGAGCGACAGAGGCGCGCTGAAGGAGGTCGTCGCTTCCCGTGCTTGCAGGGCTCGGCATGGCTGGCACGGCATGACTGCCTTTCGCTTGTCACGAGCAAGAAGATGATCAAGTGTATCAGCTCCTTGCTTGGACGCTCTTCGCTCACATCCTTCTGTCCTGTGTCGATTCTTATGGACATTGGGGTCGGACATTTGGGTCGAACTTGTGGGGAGCTTACTCTCGCGGCCTCTCAGGACATGGATGTTGGATGTGATCACGTTTCTCCAGGTGGTAAGTCCGAAGGTGCGGTGCACTGCTGGCATGTCGTACCCTCCCCCGTTCTGCACGCGCTTCGCCAACACATCGGCATCACCAATCAACAAGCGTTGTCACATATCCTTCCTTCTCCGTCCTTCTCCCCCCCCGCCCCCCCCCCCGCATACTTCCCCCGTCTCCCTCCTTCTCCCTCCTTTCCCTCTCTGCGTCGTCGGCAAGCCATGCTCAATGCCAGCCTGGGACTGATGAGAAGGGGACTTCGGACGGGAGGGTGACTCATGAGTCCCTCCCGTCCCGAGCCTGGGACTCAGGCAGCCCCCCATCGCTTCTCTGCCTTTCTTCCCTCGCTCTGCTCGATTCCCTTGGCAATGTTCTTGTCGTCCGACGGGTGCACTCTCTGACTTGAAAGATTGTGGTGTTCTAGGCGTGTTTGTTTGTTATGTTTTCTGTTTCTTTTTCTCCTCCTCCTCCTCCTCCTCCTCCTTCTCCTCGCCTCTTCCTCGTCCTCCTCCTCCTCCTCCTCCTCCTCCTCCTCCTCCTCCTCCTCTTCCTCCTCCTCCTCTTGATTTGAGCGCTCCATGTTTACTCGGCGTGCGCCGCGAGCGGCCTCGTGGCTGCCACCGCCGCCCCGCCCTTCACAGTCAAAACAATCGAGAGTTGCGGGCCTGTCCCCTCTACAGGAGGAACATTCAAAACTAGTCAAGACATAGTCTGGGACTATTTTGGGAATATGTTTGATTATTGCGAAGGCCCTACGGCCGGTGCTGCCGACCCTGAGAACGACGAAGATGAAAACGAGGAAAACGAGGAGGACGAGTGAGAGGTGGAGGAAAGGTGGAGGAGCTTGATGAGGGAGGAGGAGGAGGGAGGAGAAGGATGTGCAGGAGCAGCAAGAGGAGAAGAAGGAGGCAGAGGAGAGCAGGAGGAGGGGGAGCAGAGGGGGGGGGGAGGAGGAGGAAGAGGAGGAGGCCAGAGGCTTTCTTGGGACAGCCTGGGGCTCTCTTGAGGCCGTCTTGGGCCGTCCAGGGCTCCTCTTGCGCCGTCTCGAGGCACTCTTGGAGGCCTCCTGGGCAATTTGGGGCTCTCCTGGGCTGTCTTGGAGCAGTCTGGGGGCCCCTTGGGAGCCTCTTGGGGCCTCTTGGGCCTTCTTCGGGGCCTCTTGGGGGCTTCTTGGGGCTGAGAGCTCGAAATGTCCGTTCGGGCCCCCCGTCTGGGCACTCTCCTGGAGCCGTCTTGGGGGCCTCTTGGGCCGTCTTGGAGGCGTCTTGGGCCGTCTTGGGGCCATCTTCGGCCGTTAGGTGGCCCTCTTGGGGGACTGTTGTGTTGTTTCTGAATATGAGATTTTTTTAAAAAAATTCGTTCAAAATCCGCCTGTAGGGGGATATGCCCGACCTAACTAAGTCGTGTCTTGCCCCTCGCTTCCGTTTTCTCCTCCTCGCCCCGCCCTCCCCGCCCACCAGCCTTCCAGGCCTGCCTCCGAGCCGAGTCCGCGGCGCGCTCCTGCTCCAGGCCCAGCGCTCCGCGGCGCTCCCTCCCTCCCCTCCCCGCCGTGAAGAAGGGGCAGGGGAACAGACAATGTTTCATAAGCATAACAACTCGGAAGTCCGCGCGGATTTCTCGGATCGGCGTTGGACCCCCCTCCTTGGCGCGCGGAGCGCGCCAGGGAGTTTCTATGTTTGTGTCATTCTTCATTCCCCTAGAGAAGGGGGATCCCGAGGGAAACTGGTCCTACGGCTGGCGTTGGAGAAAAGGCGGAGGAAGAGGAGGAGGAGGAGGAGGAGGAGGAGGAGGAGGAGGAGGAGGAAGAGGAGGAGGAGGAGGGGAGGAGGAGGAGGGAGGAGGAGGAGGAGGAGGAGGAGGGAGGAGGAGGGGGGAAACTGATATGGCTGCACGGAAGAAGCCCTGGCAGGGGGATGGCCGTGCACACGCGGGGCCCTCGCAGGGGTATCGCCTCACAGGGACAGCGCGCTCTTCGGAGTCCGATGCTGCACGCTGCCGCCTGTCCAACACCAGCCGTCAACCCCGGGGGCGTTCCCCTGAGCGAGCTCTCCATCCCGAGCAGTTCTTTGACCGTCCTGGGGCACGGGGAGGGCCCCCGGGGGGCCTGGAACCCAGCGAGAAGAGGGCCGCTTTCCGCCGGTGCCCGTTCTCCTTCGTGCGGGAGCCCCTCGCCGAAAAGACGCAGGAGTGACCTTGCGCCGGAGGGGCCCTCAGCAAGCGGTCCCCGAACGCGGGGCGCCAGGCGATAGAATGCGCCCTGCACGCTCGTGTTTGGTCCCCCCCCGCGGCCCCCCAGAAGACCGCGCGCCACAGGCCACTCTCACTCTAGGCCTCCTAGATGGGATCGGAGCAGATGGGGTCGGAGGATCGCGCCGCATCGCCGATGCATCGGCAATGCGGCGCGATGCGAAGCCCGATTTTCTCCACGCCGGCGTCGCCGATGCATCGCCCACGTCGACTATGCATCGCCAGTGCATCGCCGATGCATCACCGATGCATCCGCGATGTATCGGCGAGGCGGCGCGATCCTCCGACCCCATCTACCCGGACCCCATCCGGGAGGCCTTTGCTTGCCCAGGGCCAGTCTTGCGTGCAGAGTGGAGGCCCATGCCAAGAGACACCCTGCTTGCCTCCGGGGTGCCCTGGGTTTCTTGGGTCTCGATGGTCTGGCGATGGAAAGCGTGACGCTCTCTCACGCCAAGAATCGGTGGACGTCCCGGGGTCTCGGGGCTGGGCATCTTGTGGAAGGCTTCTCGTGGTCGGGCCTCCCCTGCAGCCCGACCTCCCCTCCGTCCGCCCTCGGCCCCGCCGGCGCGCCATGAGCCGCGGAGTGGCCGCTGGACGCCGGAGCGGGTCGCGTGGCGGCGGCGGCTGCCCTGCCGCGCCCCGTGGCCGACGGTGCGCGCCTGTGGTGGGCTGGGGAGCGAGGAGGCCTCCACGCTGCGAGGAAGGAGAGGGGGAGGCGCCGTCTCCCCCCATCCTCTCCCTCCCCCTGCTCCTCCTCCTCCTCCTCCTCCTCCTCCTCCTCCTCCCTCCTCCTCCGCCTCCTCCTCCCTCCTCCTCCTCCTCCTCCTCTCCTCCTCTTCTCCTCCTCCTCCTCCTCCTCCTCCTCCCCCCTGCCCAAAAAGCTCCTCCTCCTCTCTCCTTCTCCTCCTCCTCCTCCTCCTCTTCCCTGTTCAAAAAGCTCCTCCTCCTCATCCTCCGCCTCCTCCGTCCTCCTCCTCCTCCTCCTCCCTCCTCCTCATCATCATCATCATCATCACCTCCTCCTCCTCCTCCTCCTCCACCTCCTGCTCCCCCTTCTCTCCCTCTTTACCCTGCCCCGAAAAGCTCCTCCTCTCCCTCCCCCTGCTGCTCTTCCTCCTCCTCCTCCTTCTCCTCCTCCTCCTCCTCTTCCTCTCCTCCTCCGCCTCCTCCGACTCCTCCCCTCTTCCTCCTCCTCTCCTCCTCCTCCACCTCCTCTTCCTCTGCCCCGAAAAGCTCCTCCTCCTCCTCCTCCTCCTCCTCCTCATCTCCTTCTCCTCCTCCTCCTCCTCCTCCTCCTGCTCTTCCTCCTCCTCGGCCTCCTTCTCTTCCGCCTCTCGCTGGGAGGAGGAGGAGGAGGAGGAGGAGGAGGAGGAAGAAGAAGAGGGATGGTGGGAGGAGGAGGAGGAGGAGGAGGAGGAGGAGGAGGAGGAGGAGGAGGAGGAGGAGGAGGAGGAGGAGGATGAGGTTGCTGGTGGCTATTGGCCTCCAGGAAGGCTTCCATCGGCTGCGCCTCGTCGAGAGCCTCCTGGGGATCCCAGAATCCTCCCGAACCGCCGCGTGAGAGCTAATGGTGACCCGAAGCCAGAGAAGGAGGGAAGAGCGTTGTCGTCGAACGGCGGTGTGCCTGCGGTCAGCGTGCTCGAAGGCTGAGGGGGGGCGCTTGGTCGTGTAGACAATCGCATCCGCCACCAGCCGCCCCGAACCCCACGAGGAGAAGGAGGAGGGGGAGGAGGAGGAGGAGGAGGAGGAGGAGGAGGAGGAGGAGGAGGAGGAGGGAGGACAGCGCGAGGGATGACTGAAGGGGGACAACACGTCTCCGCGTTTCGAAGCCGTTGATTTCGTCCCCCAGCACCACCACACGATCGGAATATGCTTGAATGTTGGCTGGCTCTGTTTAATTGTTTCTCCCCAGATCCGCCTGTAGGGGGACATGCCCAACCTAACTCCAGGCCTTCGTGTTCACCCCCCCGTCTTGCCGTCGTTGGTCTCTGGGGGGCCTCTCGGAGCGCTTGCGTCGCCATGGCTGGATTCGCGTTGAGATCTCGTCTCCACCCCCCTCTACATCCCCACCTCCCTCTCCATCTGTCCCCCTCCCTCTCGGCCGCTGCCTTTCGTTTCATGCTTCGCCTCCCTCTTTGTGCAGTCCCTTCTCCCCTGACTCCGTGCGGACGTTGTCTCGCAGTCTCCGCGCATTGTTTTTGCCCCGCGAGATTGCAAACATTGGTAGTACGCATGTCTCTTGTTTGCAATCCGGTCGCTCCCGGTCCTAAAAATGGTGCTGCCGCTACAGCGAGGGCCACATTTTAGGATCGGCGCTTGGCTCCCGTCGTTCAGAATGGCGCTCTCGCCCCAGCGCGGGCCACTTTTCTGCATCGGAGTCCTTCCGCCCCTCCATTTCCCCTTTCTGCGCCTTCCCTTGGTCCTCCTGCTCCTCCCGTGCCTTCCTCTCCAGCTCCTGCTGCTGCTGCTGTTTTTCGTCCTCGTCCTTCTTCCTCATCCTCCCGTCCCTTCTGCTCAGTTTCCTGCTCATCTGCCACGCCCTCCTCCACTCCGCAGCCATGTTTTCCGCGTGCGCATAGCACGATGTTTTTGTTGTTGTTGGAATCCCATGTCCGCAATGACACACCTCGGCGGGTGGAAAAGCAGTCCGCGCAATGGGAAGGGATGAGTGAGAGGGGTCGAATGTCAGATATGGCGTGAGCGCGCCTGGCTTGCCCTCTCTCTCCCTCTCTCTCTCTCTCTTTCTCTCTCTCCCTCTCTCTATTTCTCTCTCTCTCTCTTTCTCTCTCTCTCTCTCCCTCTCTCTCTCTCTCTCCCTCTCCCCTCTCTCTCTCTCTCTTTCTCTTTTTTTGTTCTCTCTCTCTCTCTCTCTCTCTCTCTCTCTCTCTCTCTCTCTCTCTCCCCCCCCGCTCCAGTCATCTCAACCGCGGCCGCAGCACCCGTCCCCTCGCCGTTCTTGCATTCCCCGTCTCCCTCCCTCACCCACCTCGATTCGGCGCGGATTTCCACCTACTCTCGGTGAGGGTTAGAACTGAGAACTGCCCTCGGTGAGGGCCCCGGTCACGTGCGGGATCGGATGGGTAGGAGGATTGTGGAGGAGGAGGAGGACGAGGAGGAGGAGGGGGAGGCCCACATCTCGATTCTCCACGCTGCTCAGCACACTGCTAGCACTGTTGGTTTTTGACCCATCTCGCCACCGTGCCAGGGATACGGTAATCATGGCGGGTAGGGCTGGGGGCTTTTTGGATAGGCCGGCGCCGTCGGAAGTCGCATGCGGGAGCGCGGTAGCCAAGAGTCGCACGCAGCTGATGCCATCTGTTTGTGGCGATCGTACGGCGGAAAAGTGCGAGAGGGCATGGGAGATGCTGGTGGGAGCCCGCAGGCCACGAGTCGCAACGAAGTGTGGCCGCGAGTCCGCCGCCGGTCCGTCGAGCAGCCGCCTGTGCGCTGTCCGTGGCCGGAGGCCACGGGTCAGCCCTACTCGGTGCACGGTCGGCCTTGGTGGGGTCCGGCCAGACGCTGCACCTTGCCGGCATGTCGAAAGTCCGATCGACTGCCTGTCCGGGCGGCCCCACTCGGATCGGGTATAGCCAGGACCCCGGTGAAGGGGACCCAGTTAGTGGTAGGGCCGTGGGGCCCTTCAATTGGCCAGATTCACTAAACCAGGTTTGTTTTTCGGGTGACGGCAGTTCCGGTTAGTGGAAATGGGACTGGGGGCGCCCCCGGTACAAATCGCTCAACCAGGTTCCACTAAACCCAGTTCTGCCAACGCCCGATCGGACTCTACCGCCAGTCGGAGCGTATCGAGAGCGCCCTAGCGCACGTCCTCCACAGTGCCCTGTCGCGAAGAGGTTTGTCGTCTGGGATGTTTTGTTGCGCCATGACTCGCTGTTTGCAGTGCCGTTGCTCTCTGAAAGTGTGTCACAACGAAGTGTGGCCACTTGTGCTTTGCAAGCTTGAGGGGGGTTGTACGACAATGAGGGTGGGGGGGATCGGCATTCGTCTGAGCTTGGTCTCGCTGTGCTGACTTGTCCGAGTGAGATGCCCAAGAGGGCCGCACAGAGCATCGTAACACTGGCTCTGGAACCTCCATCGCCGAGGGATCTGTTATGGATTGGTGGATGTATGAGGCTTGGGAAGGGCGGGATGCGAGGTGCGAGGGACAATCGCACAGTGCGTCTGCCGAAGCTCTACAGCTACCCATTCAGCTAGCCTTTGCGCTGACTTTCCCTTTAATGGACTTGCACGTGTATTCCGTTCACTCTGTACGGTGTATTCCACCTTTCCTTCGTTATGATGTTGTTAATATGTTAGTTTAGCGTGTGATGCCGTCTCTCTCTCTCTCTGTCCCCCTCCACATCGGCGGCGGGCATCGTTATATTACGCACTTCGGTCACTCAGCTTTTACCATTATTATTTATGCTCCTATTCCGCACCCTCCTACCGCCTAATTCGCTCTAAGTTGTCTGACGTTTCGCTAAATAGGCTCTTGCTCGGCATCAGGTGCCACCCGAACGCTGCGAGGATCACGCTCAGAGTCTGGCCAACGTCAAACGGGCAACGACCGTGCAAGCGTCGGGGGCGCACGAACCATGACCAGCACTCAGATTGCCTCCCTGCCTCGGCAGTGCGGATGCCGGGCTCTCTCTCTCTCTCTCTTTCTCTCTCTCTCTCTCTCTGTGTCAAAAAGGTAACGACCGTGCAAGCGTCGGGGGCGCACGAACCATGACCAGCGCTCAGATTGCCTCCCTGCCTCGGCAGTGCGGATGCCGGGCTTTCGTTCTTTCGCGAGGCCATGCCTGGGCCGGCCTCTGGGCCACTTCGAGCAGGGTCGGGCCGCCAGCACCGCGGCGGAGTGCGGCGCTTGCGAGGAGGAGCAGCAAGACGAGTGGAGCAGGAGGATGAGTGGAGCAGAGGGGGGGAGGAGGACGAAGGGGCAGGAGGAAGAGGAAGAGGAGGAGGAGGAGGAGGAGGAGGAGGAGGAGGAGGAGGACGGGGGAGGAGGAGGAGGAGGAGGAGGAGGAGGAGGAGGAGCAGCAGGAGGAAAGAGCAGGCGGAAGCGGAGGATGATGGGAGTGGAAGTGGGGAGGAGGAGGAGGAGGAGGAGGAGGAGGAGGAGGAGGAGGAGGAGGAGGAGGAGGAGGAGGATGAGGAGGAGCAGGAGGAGGAGCGGAGGGAGCAGGAGGAGGAGGAGGAGGAGGAGGAGGAGGAGGAGAGGAGGAGGAGGAGGAGGAGGAGGAAGGAGGAGGAGGAGGAGTAGAGGAGGAGGAGGAGGAGGAGGAGGAGGAGGAGGCGGCAGAGCAGCACGAGCGCCCTGCAAATTTTGCTTCAGTCCTGGGCCCTGCTACCCCTGGCCCTGGACGCACCAGGGCGTCAATGGGGATCCCGGGAGGCCCCGGGGGGGCCCTGCAGGGCCACAAGCGCCCCAGATGTGTTGTTATAGAACGCGTTCGAGACTCTCCTCCCCTCCCTCGACCCTCGACTCGAGGATCGGGGGAGGGCCGGCCGACTCGACGAGACACTCGAGGATCGAGGGCGGATCGAGGATCGAGGGAGGATCGAGGACTCGACGACTCGAGGACCCGTCGGGGGCGGCAGAGCTCGGCAGCAGCACCTGCAGTGGCGCCGGGAGAGCAGGACGGGGGAGCGCCGAGGCCCGCCCGCCCGCCGCCAGGGCGCGGGCCGCGGCGGCGGCCCTCGCCCAGCTGGGGGCCGCCGGCGGTCGCGCCGACATCGTGGGGTACGACTCCGTCTCGGCCGCGCGGGCCTCGGGCAGGGCTCATCTCGACGCCTCCGATGCGATGCGATGCGGCTTCGGCGGAGGCCGACTTCGATGGGATGCGGCTTCGGATGCCGATCCTTGGCTCTCCTGCCTCGGGGGGGGCGGGGGCGCGTGCCACGGGAGCCGCCAGGAAGGAGCCACCGGCGGGTCCTCGGGCGGGTGGTGATAAGGGGGTGGCCCGAACGGGGAGTAAGGAACAGGGCCCCTGTAGGGCCCTTTCGACTCCGTCTCGGCCTCGGGGGCCTCGGGGGGGGGAGGGCCGTTCGAGCAGCGGCGAAGCGCCCTGGCTTTCCCATAGGCCCACCAAGGATTGTTCCAAGAGCCTTTCGTGGTCTGCACGAAGCGTTCTCAGAACATTTCTGGCTGGCGCTGTCTCATTTCCACACATCGGGTTTGTGTTCTAGGAACGTTGTTTTGGCTCTCATGGGTTCTAAGAACATGTGGTGGTAGGCCTACTGGAATGCCGGGACGGTCGGTCCCTGCTCAAGCCATGGGTCCCAGGAGCCGCCAGGAAGGAGCCACCGGGGGGTCCTCGGGCGGGCGGTGATAGGGGCTGTCCCGAAGGGGGGGGTAAAGACAAGGGACCTGCAGGGGCCCTCTCGGACCCCTCGTGGGCACCGGCTGGCTCCCAAAGGGGCCCTGAAGGGCCCCTTTAGGGCCCTCGTATCCACCCCCCATGTGGGTCACCCCCCCCATGAGCGCCCGCCCCTGGGTCCGCGAAGCAAGGGTCCGGGACGCTGTCTCTCAAGAGGGGAAAAAACACGCAGACACAATGCATCGTCGATTCCCAGGAAGATGTGGGAAAGTATGGGAAGTGGGGGGGAGGACGAAAACCCAGACAACATTGGAAGCTATTGGTAATCCTGGGATTTGTGTGTATTTCTTTGTGTGTCCCGGGCCCCTGGAGTTTCGCCGTTCTCGGGCTGCAGGCCCCCGTCCCCGTCCGCCACACCAACTGCCGCCCGAGCGGCAAAGACGTGGTGCGCCGCACGACGAGTGCGTTCAAATTGCCGCTGGCGGACTCTACGGTCGAGGGCTCTGACTCCGCGTGCTCGTCGTCGGCGCGACGAGCTGTCCACGTCCCAGTCCCCGAGCGTCGGCATCCTGAGCCTTTCCCAACATCCCGCCCCGCAGATCGCAGCCACACGCTATCCGCTCGCAGAGAGTAGCGTGTCGCCGGGCACGCCACGCAAAAATTGCCGACTGTAGTTCCGTAAATTCGCTAGAAAGACGTTGGACACACCTGTCTAGCTCTACCTAGGGGCCTGGGGACCGTCAACAAACCGCTCAGGATGAAAAGCGGGTCCAGGGGAAGGTCGCGATTGAGTTCGGGCGAACTAATTTGTTCAATCCGGGCGTTTTCTTGGTTTGCCGCCCTCCTGGGGCAGATCTCGAGCCCTACATCCCCCCTCGAAATCAAACGCAAGGGTTCCGCGACGTGGCGGCGCCCCAAGACCCCAAGATCTCAACGTTCGCGCCGAAATTGGCGATTGCAAACACCAGCAAATCTGACCCCGCGGGCCGCATTTCGCGCGTCGGCCAACATTGAAATCTGCGTTTCATTTCGAGGAGGGCTGTAGGACCGTCGAAAGATGCCCAGGGCGAAACCCACCCCTGGGAAGGGGGTCGAGACCTTCCAGGACCGCGGAGATCGGGAGCGGCCCACACGGGGGGTGATGATTAGAGGGTCGGCGGATCTCATGGTTCAAGGGCTGTGGCGGCTCCCTGGGTTCCATGGCCCTGTCTTCTTCTTTCGGCACGTCCCTTCGTCCCTTCCCATTTCCGCGCAAGTCCCTCCAGGCATGCATTGCGAACCTGATTCTTGGGAATGCTCATTCAAAGTAATGAGGTACCAGCCGATCGCAGGGTGAACCCGAGCGAGGAGAAACTGAAATGCTAATTAGAGTGTGTACAGCAACACGCCCGTGTGAATGCAGCTGGAAGCAAGCCAGCAGTACTTTCCAAAGGAAAGGCGCCACAAGATAGCATCGGTAAACATCCTAGCTAAAGGCGCGCTACACTTGGACAGTTGCAGATGAGAGCGAGGGGGCGGGCGCGGGGTGGGTCGCGGGCGGGTCGCAGGCGGATCGCAGGGTGGGTCGTTGGGTGGGTCGCGGGTGGGTCGCTGGCGGGTCGCGTGCCAGGACGACGACAACAACAATCATCATTTCAAGATTGTTCGCTCTTACCTGCTCGCGTGCCGTTCATCACGTATATCGGAAACCCTGGATACCCGCCCTCTTCGCCTTCGATCGCACCCCTCTTGGAGGTATAGCTTCGTCACCTGCCACGTGTAATTGGCGCGTCCCCTAAGACAAGGGAAGAGAGGACGGATGGAAGGGAAAGGAAGAAGGATGGAGCACGAGACAGATTCTTGGGTTCACGCCACACCGCCGACCCCTTGGGGAACTGGCGGGTGCTGTGTGAAGGGAGCAGGGAGCAGTAATAGGCCAAGCGAGCTTCAACTCGACTGCTGCATCCGAGTCCTGCAAGCCCTCATCTACAACATCTCCCGACTACCTTCCTCGTATGCACGAATCTTCTGCACTGCGCCATATGCATGCCAAGTGGTACTAGTTTTATGCCCTGGGGGGGTGGCGGGCGTCAAACAGTTTATGACTTTAAGATTATCTTCACCTCGCGCCCGGGCGCCTGGGATCCAGACCCGCAGATCTGTAATCCGATGATGATGATGATGATGATGATGATGATGATGATGATGATGATGATGATGATGATGATGATGATGATGATGATGATGATGATGCTTACTCTCGCAACGTTAGGCCACGTATGTACGCAGCCTCTGGCAAAAGCTGTGGCCCGCAGGGGAGTTTGCGGAACCCCTGTCTGGCCTCGACCGCTGAGCGCTCTCGAGCCACTGTGGCAACGTATTGGGATACATGCTGCGTGCAGCACGGGATCACGTTTCAAGACTCCCGGAAGACACGAATATGACGCAGCAGTGCAACCTACGTGTCTGGTTTCTTGCAACCATGATAAAATAGGATGCTACCGCCATCCAGCCCCATCCAACCGCCAAAAAGCTTTCTCTTATAGAATCGACTAGGCCGCAGGTCCCGTCGTGATTCGGCGAACCACTGGCCAGTCTAAAGCATCTGTCTGAATAGGCGAATTGAAAGACTTCAAACGTGTAACCAAATGGCTTTCGCCTAGTTTCCAGCTCACGCGAATGCGAATTCACAGCCGGGCGCCCCATACAGCATTGAGACGCGCCAGCGTACCCTGGAGTCCAGACTGCAACCATTGAGGAAAAAATGGGAGTACGAGGAAAATTGACCTCACATCCCCTCCTGCTTTCGGGCGACGGACTCTGCTGGGCGTTGCCAACGAATCCAGAAACGACTGGCTCGCCCCCGCTCGTTTGTGGGAGGCTAAGAATATAGATATATGATCCTGGGCAGCTTGCGACTGCTTGCATAATCTGTGATATCTGCTAATCATGGCTCGAGGCCACGCCTCGTGGACCGACGGATGGTGGAGTGAGTCCCTTGACAGAGGAGTCCATTGCGAACTCTTCTTGACATGGACGCTGTAGTCCAGGGCTCCTCCAACGAAGTTCTTCGGACGATATACTTCTACATCTAAAAACACAGCCCGCTCCGAACTCACAGTTTCTATGTGTAGCTCGAAGGGGGGACACGGACCTACACATAGCTTGGCTGAAGTTGTGTATGTCTTTCTGTGGCCCGTCGAGAATAGCTATGATATCATCTTTGAAACGGAAGTAAGCTAGCAAACCTATTTCCTCCATGTATTGCCTACTTAGAACACGTTTCTCAGCTAGGTGATACAATGCAGCATCGCTCACCTCACCTGAACACATGACCCCCATGCCTGACCCGCAGATCACTTGGTGAACACATGACCCCCATGCCTGACCCGCAGATCACTTGGTGCCTTGGGGGGGTTGCGGGCGTCAAACAGTTTATGACTTTAAGATTATCTTCACCTCGCGCCCGGGCGCCTGGGATCCAGACCCGCGGATCTGTAATCCATCTTATTGCTTGCCTGTGATGGGGAGCAGGCGGAGGTTGATGGGGGGAGGAGAAGGGGGTGTTTTCGGAGGCTTCGCGGCTTCCCTGCCCAACCTCAACCCCCGTGCTTGTCCCTTCCCGTCTAGCGCTTCCATCCACACTTCCCGCCTCCCGTTCGCAGTTACATAGTGTACATATTGTTCTCCTCGCTCCCCTGTCCCCGCCCCGAAGGTATTCGGTCCCCTCCGCGTAGTTTTTCACTATGGATTTTTCAATCGTTGGTCTTCCTCATGAGTTGTTACACTCCGATGTGTTCTTGGTCATTGAAAGCTGCAGCGTTGACCTAATTTTGGGATCGGCGCGCTGCTCCAATCGTTCAGCATGGCGCTCTCACCCCGGTGCGGGCAACTGTTCGGGATCCGAGTCCCTCCTCGTTGTCGCCCCCCGTCTGTCCTCTCATCCGCCTTCCCCTGATCATCCTCTGCGTTTTCCGCTCCTTCCACTCCAGTTCCCGTTGCTGCTGTTCGCTCTCGTCCTCGTGCTCCTTCTTAGTCCGTCTCCTTTTCCTCCCGTGCAGCTGCCACCTCGTCCTTCTCCTCCCCCTCCTGCCTACACAGCTCCCCGCTTCCGACTGCGCATCACACGATAGGGGCCTTTTGGGAGCCCCGACTCCGCGATCGCCCGTGTCCGCGGATAGAGAACAACAACAAAGCTATGGGACGGGATGTGTGGGAGGGGTCGGATTCCAGATGCGGCGCGAACGCACCTGGCTTGCCACTCCACCCTCCAGCCCCTCTCCGCGTTCCCCTCCCCGCTCGCGCTTCCGAGGTGCTGTTCCCCTACGGCGCCAGCTTCGTAGCTGCGCCTGCCGGGGCCAACACGACGATTGCGGACATCTCGGCGGTCGGCTTCGTGTCTGCGAGGCAGGTTGTGCTGCTGGCTGACAGGTGACTGGGTGACCACCAACGGGGGGATGCCACCGACAGTGGAGGCCCATGCCAAGAAATACCCTGCTCGCCTCCAGGGGGCTATGGGTTCCTTGGGCTCCGATAGTTTTGCCGCGGAGAGCGCGGCGTTCCCACACTAAACATCAATGGACGTCCTGGGGTCTCCGGATTGGGTTTCTTGTGGAAAGTTTCTTGTGGAGTGGCCTCCACTGTACGGGCAGCCACCGCTCAACCCTCGGGATCCCGCTCCCCTCTGCGCGGGGACGCTCTGTTTTTTTGTGCGTGGCGCGGAGCGACTCGGGTGCTCACGCGTCCTCTCTCTCTCTCTGAGGCCTCCTTGGCCGCCTCTGGGGTCCGTGAGAGGGTGGATGTGGGGTCGCTCGGGGAGCCCTCGTTGGAGAAGTTTGTTTCGTCCTGGTAGTCATGTGGGGCGTCGTTGGTTCCTCTCCTGCCTTTGTGGGGGCGTAGTTGGCGCCGTCTTTTGGGGGGGCATCTTGGCCCATCGTGGGACCCCAGTGGGAACAGAAGGCTAATCAGCGCATCTCCCGTTTGGGGGACGCTTTTGCGCGCCAGAGTGAGTCAAACGCATTGTGATCTGAATGTTGGTTCTGCCTCTTGACGTCTCCGCCCCCGTGGACCAAACCGGCGGCCTCACACTTTGTGGCCTGTCAGTGTGGCCCTCTGGGAGGGAGCTGTCCGCCTCCTGCTTGGGGTGAGGAGGACGATGAGGGTCAGGCGCGAACAGGACTCTCTTCTGGTCCGCCTCATCCTCGCCCCAGCAAGCGGAGGAGGAGGGCAGGACGAGTCGGGTGGGGGAGGACGAGTTGGGGGGGAGGATGAGGAGAAAAGGCAGGATGAGAGACGTATGTGACACGAGGGGAAGGGGCGACCTAGTCCCAGGGACATCGGGTATTGGGACAGGGAGCTTGGGGCGCAGATGCATAGTGGGATTTGTTCGTGGTCCTCGCGTAGGCCTGTTCCGAAGGCGATGGCAGCACACATCTTGAAGTACAGCGGGTTGGTGCCTCGATGCTGTATATGTGCAGTGCTCATTATCCTTGCCGTCGGTGTCAGAGCTCTCGTGGCCATAACATGGGTGGGATGCCAACTGATGGCACAATGGGTTCGTAAGTAGTGGCAGTCGTGGGAATTAGTTGTGCTTCGCACATGCCCGCCTGTCTATTCAAACATGATCGCCCGGCGAGTTACCCTCATCATGGAAGTCTAAAAGCATACAGTGGAACAGGCAGGTGAGTCAGTCGACTGGCTGAAGCCTAGACTCAGCCTGAGCATACCCAGGATTGGAACTGCTGATGAGGAGGCGGAAGAGAAAATGGAGAGGGATGAGTGGAATGGGGAGGCGGATGAGCATGGAGGTGAGAGGAGGATGAGGAGGGCAAAGAGGAGGAACAGACAGAGGACTTCGTATACATTTTGGCTCAAAGCCGTAGCAGGAGGCTCGAGGGATTTTGGTAGTGGCGTGGGGATGCGCTGCCCCAACTGTTTTCTTCAACACGTACGTACGCTTCGTCGGGTACCGTATTGCGTGGTGCCCGCGCCCTCTTGAACCTACTTCCGTCTCAGTCATGGCGGATTGCTCGGTGTGGAAGTGTGGGCACAAAAAGTGCGGGTATCACTACAACTTCGGTTGGCGAAAGCTAGGAGTCGTCTCGGGGCCGTCCTGGGGGACACTTGGAGGCGTGCTGGAAGCTATCTTGGGCTACCGTGTGCCATGGCGGAGGCTATCTTGGTCCGAAAATGAGCCTACACCTCGCCTCCACCTCGTCCAGATCCAGGGTGGGGAGGGGGTATAATTAAACTGGTAAGCCCCTCCCCGCAGGGGAAGACGTACGCATACACTCCCCCGACCACCTACGCCAAAACGCGTGGTGGGATCACATCAGGATCTTCATGACACGCTTTGTTTGTGGTAGACAGGAATCTACTGCAGGTGAGGGGCAGGGGCCCGATGGGAAGCGGGGAAGGTAGGGAGGTGGGGGGGAGATGAGATGTGGTGAGTTGCCCTCCCGGTTTCCTTTCTGAGACAAGATGCGCCCGTTGCTCGAATCGTTGACCAAAAGTGGAGGGCCTCCGCGCTTGAAGGTCCCACTTGTATACGGCAAACCTGACGTTCGGCGACGACCGCGGCCTTCGGGAGGTGCTCTCGTTGTGCTGGTCAGAAGAAGGAAGCAATGGAGTAGATCAAAAGGAGGAAGAGGGAGAGGAGGGTGAGGAGGAGGAGGAGGAGGAGGAGGAGGAAGTGGACCAGGAGAAGGAGGAGGAGGAGGAGGAGGAGGAGGAGGAGGAACATCGGGAGTGGGAAGGGGTGTGGATAGATGGGGACCAGGCTGCTCCAGAGCTTCTCGTCTTCGCGTGGATCTCGCCTCGCACGCTTGGCGACGCGCTGGGCCGACTTTGAGCGGCCAGAATGCCGTCCGCGCTGTCTTTCTTTTAACTGCCTCTTCGGCACTCGGCAGTGCGCGTCGAAGGGGAAACGAGGGCGAACTGTTGTACTTGCGTGCGTCGCGATGGCGTCCTACCTTGAGAGGGCTGGCCTTCGGAAACGCAGTCACTCCTGCTTCAGTTGCGAGAGCCACTTCCAGCTGAAGTTTGATTTAGCGTCTCTCCTGCCCAACTTGCTGAAGCAGAGCGCGTATGGCGGTCGATACTATGTCCGACACGCTCCACATGGAGGCGGCTAGGTCTGGCCACCGTCCAAGTCCTCAGGCCCTGGCAAGTGCTCCTCCCAATGTTCCAGCTCCCCACCCATCCATCCGCTGTACCGGGATCTTGCAAGCCCAGTCCAATGTTTGTCTTGCCCTGTCCAGCTTCGATGTTGTTAGTTGTTCTTCCTAACCCTTCCAGCTTCCTTGCATCTGTCGCTTAAGCTTCGGGGACTCAGTGTTTCATGTCGTCGCCCTGCAGGTGGAGTTCCTGTCGGACACCTACCTGAACTATGCGAGGTGCCGTCTGGCTAGGCGACGATGCCCCCAGTAGGCCGACGGGACCAAGAAGAGCCAGAGCTGGCGACCGGCCTTCGTCCGTGTGCGACGTGGAAGACTTGAAAGGTGGAGCTTCACCTCCGCCCCCCTACGTTTTTTCGTTGGGGAGGGGCTCCGTGTTCCTTAAGTGTTTCGCAGCTTGCTTTGAATTTTCCTTAGGTTGTCGATACGAAATCGAGGTTCAACTTATGGAAAATAGGGGCCTCGTTCCTTATTTAGGGTTCCTTAGGTCAACGCCCCGACTGTACTACTTGAGAGCCTCCCCTGGCTTGCCTCGTGTGGGAAAGCGCCTTGCGTCAAGGCAGTGCCGCCCCCAACTGCCTGAGGGGGGCCACGAAGAGCGAGAGGCGGCGATCGGCCTCCGCCCCGTGCTTTCTGGGCGCGTAGCCGATTCGAAATGTGCCAAATCGAGAATTCCTTACGCCTGCCGGCGGTAACGGCGCAGCTTCGCTCATAGGTGGACCAGAAAATCACAGCCAATGTCTGATCCCACGATGGCTATTGCGATGTCTTTTCGACGGATTTGCACTTGTGCGATGGTTTGTTGTTGAATTCTTCTAGCGATTGTGATTATCGACCAGCTCGCGTGTGTGAAGTGGAACGTCTGCCGACATATGGTATACCTTGAATGGCCGTCGCAGCGCTCAATTCTCAATCAGCTTGTTCGTAGTACCTTTGTGGCCGTACGCCTTGCCTCAAGCGGGGGCAACAGCAGAGGCCCGGTGGACACATACAAGTTGGACTCGGAGGGTTTAGTGGTGCGGCCTGGCGCGGTGCTGGTGTCAACGGAGGCCTGCCCATCAGTCGTTGCATTCGGGTACAGCAGCAGTGCTGATTGCAGTTGCTGTATTTGAAGAAGTAGCAGTCGCACAGCAGCTGTACTTTGAGCAGTTTTTGCAGGGGTGGCATTTGTAGTCGTAGTTATCGTTGCCCTAGTAGCAGCAGTAGTAGTAGCAGTAGTAGCAGTCGTCGTAGTAGTAGTGGTAGTGGTGGTAGTAGTACTAGTAGTAGCAGCAGTAGTAGTAATAGTAGTAGTAGTGGTGGTAGTAGTAGTAGTAGTATTAGCAATAGTAGTAGTAGTAGTAGTAGTAGTAGTAGTAGTAGTAGTAGTAGTAGTAGTAGTAGTAGTAG